GTTTACTGCTTCAGCCGCCCTTTCCAGTTTTCCCAGCATACCCGTTGTGCCCTTCTGTGATTCTCGTCGGCAATTGTTGGAGGCCCTAAATGGCGGTAGATATCTCGGGTTTGGACGCGCAAGAAAACAAGATTTGTCGACAAGCGCCCGTTGATGCGCTTTCTTAATAGTGTTGATTGTAGGAGCTGCTAGGAGTTGTAGTCAGCCGCTCGGCTCGCGTCCTGCGTCGTTCTTCGACCTGCATTTTGACGCCACCGGCTGTCACTAAGGGTCAGCCTGTCTCGCAGTTTTGAAGCAACCGTAGGGGAAGCTAAGCTTTGCGTCGGACTTGGCCTCAGAGTTGGCGTGGGCCTGAATTCCTGAGCATTGTATTCCTTTTAGAAAGACACGGTGCTGATTTATATGTGGACCTCGCTGAACTGGACGTCATCTTAAAGTTTCACGTCCCATTGGCAGCGATGGATTGGCTGCCAGCGTACTAGTCGACGCAATGCATGCCACTAGTAGAAGCGGAGCCAAAACCCCAAGTTTCAATTGACTGCCTTCTACCAATTCACGAATTGGTCGCTTCCACCCACTATTCCTACTTGCCTTCCGTCTTTGGAAGCACCTTTATACGGTTCTCAAGACTTTTCTCGGAGACGTCCCCATCTTGGTCCTGGAGCAGAGATGCGAGCGCTGCGCAAAGCAGAAAGCTAGTACCTAAACACATAAGGAGCTTATTTATGGTTTGAGCAGTAACCAACTGGACGATTAATGGCATGAACGCCAGATGTGCAGTGCTCATGATGGGACCTTGGTTTGGCTGTCACGCTATGCCGGGCTCGTGGGTACTGTAGCCTCAGAAGCACTTACAAATAAATCGGAGTCTTTCACTTGCTTGCTTTTATCCGCTTAGCAGATAGTTGGAGAAATGAAATCGGGTGTTCAGCCTGGCTCTGAAGTCAACCTGACTTCTGCTGCCATGCCGTCGGGCTGTGAAAACGTCCCAACAAAGGGACACTGGGTTCCTCTCAAACGTCCGTCTTGCTTCATTCGCTTCCATGTTGGAGTTTTGTTGACCAACGAAACCGAAACGGAGTGTTTTCTAAAAACGGAAGGACAGCTTGCTCGCGTAAGGCGGACTTTGCGGTTATCTTTGGGACACGACATTGACCACTCATTTGATGAAGACGTGATCAATACCTCTTCAACAGTCAGACTGCTTTGCTCAGACTTTTGCGCTTGAACTTTGTTCTCTAGTGAAAAGAAGTGTGCTTTTTGTGCTCAACTTTAGATGGCAGAAAGTGACCATGCCCATCCAAAAATGCGCTAACTTTGCGTAGACAACCGCAACCTCCAGTTATGCCCTTCCTCATCAGCGTCACATTATCGACCTATGATGGGACATCGTTGCTGGCGCGAATTACCGGGGAACTCAGACCTGTCGCCTGATGGCCGCTCAGCGATTTTCACATCGGATCCCTTTGATGGCTTTTGCCGCTTGCTGCGTGGACAGCCGCATGAAGGATGCAAGAAAGTTCATCTGCTACAATTGCCTGTAGCGGGCCAAAAGAGTGGATCAAAATTGCTATCCACCCGCACCCTCTAGAGCATTGCTGCAATGCTGGTACAGTGAAGCCGCGCGTGTCTGTCAAATCAGCAGAGCAGAAATGCTGCAGTCCGCTGGCCATTATTAGCCGGACGGTTGGTGTACCAATCGCCAACTGATTTCGTCCCAATTTACACAAGGCCTCTTTTTCAGAAGCAAAGGGGCTTTTATTTCACGTCGCGGATGCATCTTTCTAATCTATACTGTTGAGGGCCGCGGCTGTATCCGTCACAGGATCCATTGATTACGGGGCCATTTGTCCATTACGTTTTGAATTGACATGATGTGGTAATCCATCGTGGAGATGCGTAATGTCTGGAGCTGTTTCAGCTCAGCGCTTATGATAGGCGGTTGTCCTGGCTGTTCTCTCCTAGGGCAGTCTCCCTTCGCCGCTTGATAGCCCTTCTGTGCCTTCTACCGGTTGTGGCTCGTGATTCCTTGCACCGGCAAACCAGAGGAGGATAACGTCAACTGATCGTGTCTCCTCGCACGCCAGGTTAGGCAATGGCCTTGACGTGCTTTGTGCCTTACTTGCTTCGTTTTTGATGACGGAAACCGTACCTTGGACTTGTGCTTACTTGTCCAGATTGCAGTCCGAAGGGTTCCTCAAAAGGGGCACACTCGTCCTTTAGGAGACTACTGCTAAAGAAGACTCGCCAACGCACGCAGATGTGTACGATAACTCTTAAAGAGGGCTTGTTGCTTCGTTGTTTTGCGCTATGTGTACCGCCTCCGATTCCTTGAGGCGTGGCGCTGCTATTACTCCATGAGGTTGATAGCAGAGGTAACCTGCAGCCCTGTGGCGTTTGGGCAACGATAAGAGCGGGTGTTGGCAGCGACTTGGCCACGAACGGCCCCAAATTCTGTATGAAGCCCAACTTTCAGCACTCTGAAAAGGCTCCCGCGGGTTCCATTTTTCAGAAGGACTCCGTCTCTATCTGCAAACTGAACAGGGCATCTTCTGGACAAGGGGAGCGTTGGCTGGCTAGCTCTTTTGGTTGAATCGACGTTGGTCTGTTCAATAAGATAACTTCCTCGCCAAGGGAGTCGCTGACAGGGCTGAGGCGTACCCTGAAATCTGCCCAAACCAATGTTCCGGCATCAAGGGCTGGTTTCAAGGTTTTTCCATGAGCTATAGGTATCTGTCGGGCTGTAACCAAGTACAAGACAACGATAGCGCTGACAACTCGGCGGACCAGAATTGCAAGTTCTTGAGTTGCGTCCCAGTCCCCTTTCAGCAACCCGAGTTGTCAAGGCAAAGATGGACGGGAATCCGGCCAACAGAGCTTGTTCTTCTTTTCTTCTTTCTGTTTTCGCTTCACTCTTAGCAAGGTCATCATTCTCCTGAACACATTCACGTCATTTGGGCCGAGGCCTTCCTGTTGGTCGGTCTTAGAAAGCATTTGTCCGTTGCTGCTTTTACTGTCGTTGTGGCAGAACCTCTACCTTTCAAAGGAATGCAATCAGGTCGCAAACCCCCGTATAACGTTGTTTTGATTTGATGCGGGTAATGTTGTGATGATTTGAAACGTGGCCAAGCAGATGTGACTCATTTGACGCCGCACCTTGGAGTTTCCAAGCCTTGCCACCCGTGTGACTGAGGATCTTTGGAGATTGGGACACCACAGCGTTAAGCTCGAAACGCGCCCGCTGATCACTTGATATTACGATGGCAGACTCCGTTACAATCCTGATGAACCTTTCTCTGAAATAGGTTCAGAAAGCTCAACTTTTAGTACTGGGACGGGTAGGGTTAGTATGGTGGTTAGGGTGGGTGCGGGTGCGGAGCGGGTGAATTAACTGGGTTTGGGTTTTTAGTGTTAGCTCGTTCTTACTAGAACCTTGTACTTACTAAACCTATTTTAGAGAAGTAATCCTGATGAGGCCAGGAAATAAGCTCTTCACGGGGTGCATGCCAAGCGTGAACTTTCCTCTGACGGGGGAAATATCGGAGCTGCCAGGAATCCTGGCTCAGTACGGACTTTCATCGTGCTCTTTCTCAGGTCTCTTTCGACCTACTTTTGCACGCACAGGTACTTGCCACGTTACTTGTGGTCTTATTTTTTGTCCGCTGACATTTGTCAATCGGTGAGATCAACAGAATGGAAGTCTTCGAACGCTGTGACGACTCTCGTGAGAGCGAGGAATCCCTGGTCAATGCAAAGGACGCTGATTTCGAGGCGGCGCTCCTCTAGCGCATTGTGCACTTTGCAATAACGAGGTTGCTTTCCTGCTGATCGAATCCCCTGCACCCGTCCAGCCCTGCTGGCAATGACGATGTTTTGATGGCGTTAAAGACGTCATATCTTGTGCAATCGGAAGCCAATCAGCTGACCATTTCAACAGCTGACAAGCTGGTTATCTACGATCTACAAACTATCCTTTCTCCCAGATTTCCAAACTAATATAGCTTTCGAAGGCTCTTCGGTGGTCCATCGGGCAGAGCTCCTCAGCGGATTCTGAGACGAGTGCGCCCATCAGCCCCAGAAACTTTCTTCCTGTGGGATGGATCGGCGCCTAAATCGGCACTAAGACAGACACCGTTCTTGTGCAGAGCCATTAATGGAAGGGTAGTCTTTACCGTCAGGCTACGGCAGATCTTGCAGCATCCTTCGCCTTTGAAAGCACTTGGGCGTTGAGAATTGGATATCTAACTTGCTGTGGTATGGTCAGCAGATAAAGTAGGGGCAATGATGCGTGTCTCTGCTTTGCTGTGAGGTCGTTTTGTCGGCTTGTCACGAGTTTGCTGCATTCTTCGTGTCGGGAACCGCTGCTCAGAGGTTCCTCCTGAATCTTCTTTCTCGTGAGCCACTGATTTTTGTGAATTGCGTCAGTGGCCTAACTCAACTCTGTGCTAAGTATGTCTACCCCCTATATGGGCCTTCCCTGTAGTCATTAAGCCGTGAGCTCCGCTTCTGCATCGCAAGGATTACTTGCTGGTCTGACTGCATCCGATGTCAGATCCGGTTCTTTCGTGGTGCTGAACATGATGCGAAGTTAAAATATCGTCAATTCCTTTTTCCAAATGTGGAATTCGGTCATGATGTGGTCACAATCGGTTGGCAAGGGCGGCCAAAGGCTGCGGAACGGCATACCACTGATGCCGCAAATCAGGAACGCTTGACCTTCTTCCCTTGGCCGTCATTTTTAATCTTTTTCAATCCTTCGACAGTTACCCAGCTACCCCATCCACCCCAGTCACTCAGCTACCTTGCTCAAATCAAGGAATGTTATCGGAGACCTCAGCGGAGATTCAACAAGGGTTAGAATTTTCTTACTGAACCGACGCGTGCGCCTCAGCAAATCTCTGAAAGCAACCAGGGGCGTTCATCGTAGTGTGAAAACGCCGAGTGGAGCCCATCCTCTCCGTATCGAATCGTTACCAACGGAACCTTACCCGTGTGCGCAGGGCCGTACTACCAGGCGGCCGCACGCCGGGGTGACGTCATCCACACGAGCTGGGTGTTCGACTGCATCGAAGCGCGGGAACTACTACACGTGCGCCCCAAGTAAGTTTACAATCATCGTAGTTTCTCCTTCGTTCGGGATGACCCATCTTGACCACCCCACTACAACGTATTCCTAAAGGCCCATTTTGTGGATTCTGCAGTCACGTCGATTTCCAGGCGGGGAGAGCATGCCTTATTTGGCGATCAGCTCGGTCTGTTTAGGCACAAGTCCACCGTTCGGATAATACCCCCGTCAAGATGCGGGCAACAAGAGCCGGTTGCGCATTCCGTTCGCCGGAGCTTCGACGTGAATCAATCGCAGATGTGTTCCGGGCGCGGGCAGGTTACTAATGTCCATTTCTCCCGTGCTTGCTGACTCGATTAGATTTCAAATCCACGCATTGCCACGCCGTAATAGAGTTGTCAGGCGGGGCACTTTTCGCCAAGGTTCTCCTGAAAGATCAAGCTCAAGACATCGGTCGAAGACTTTCCTGCCTCATGGAACGAGCCATCTGACGGAACCGTACCGCTGATCCACGCGGAGATTGGCGCCCGGCTGCTGACATGGGCACACCTCGACTGTTCCTGTGTGTTGTTGCAGTAGCGCTTGACTGCGGATATCCCTCTCGTGTTCCCTCATCCAGCTTTGTTTTGATGAAGTGAGGGCCGAAACCGGCATACCTGCCGATTGAGACAATCCTTGGGAGAGTTGTTTAACATTAGTATTAGCTTATTAGGTTGCG